CCACAGCCGCGTGGACCCACCGCCAGTGGGTGACGAGTGAAAAATCACAAAACTGGCCTTTTGGCCGAAGTTCAGCACGAAATGGCCATCTTTTGAAAATATTTCACAAAATGGCCCTACACGCATGACGCCCGCACCCGGGGCATCATGCTAGACAGCATAACACCTCGGTCAAGGGCGCCATACTTGTCAGCGCTGACTTGCCACGTTGGCAGGGCATGCCACCATGGCGCCCCAAGACAGGGCGTCGTGCTTATGTCCATGACGCCCCTGCTCAGGGCGCCATGCCCCTTGCGTGAACAAAACAGAGTCTCCCCTGTTTTCCCCTCCACACACCCTCACTTTCCCCCTTCTCCACCCCGGCCGCCCCACTCAATCCCCTACCTAATGCCCACAAAATTTCGTGGATCGGAACTCCAAATCGGTGATTTATCCTTCCCTTCGACCTCAACAAAAGCTTTAAGCTTATTGTACGACTCTTCACCAGGAGGGTACTTGAGTGCCTCACCGGCGTCGTTCACATGCTTCGAGAGCTCGTTTTGCTGTTGGACACAATAGGACAAATCATTTTGGCACAATGTAGGCAAGCATATAGATATAATGGTAACGTACCACAAAGCGGATAGTTGGCGCCGATTCATATCGTCTTCCATCTCTAATAAGCGTGTTGTACTCCATATTGGCCATACGATCAAAACCTGGATTGGGTTCATGTAATATGTCCCCTGGCTGAAATGCGGGTGCGTTAAGTTGAGTACGGGCAACGGAACGAAACCACACAAGATAATTGTTGAATGCTTCTGTATCAAAAGGCCGTGGGGGAGGCTTAGAAGTCGGTTGACGCAATGAAAGCTCAATCTTATTGAGCTTGTGCTTGAACTCCTGAATATACATGTCATACTCTCGATCCCATTTTTTTATACTCTTCTGCTTCATCTTGTCAAGACTGCATAGCATTTGACAATTGCATTTTTGTTAGTATTTTGAAAACAATGGAGAAAGCATTAGTCGCCGCTAAGCACTTACCTATGCAAATGTAGCAAAGTGTCCTTGTACTTCGGCGGGGTCTCTTGAAATAAGCCAAATTGTGTCATAACTCGTTGTGGCTGATAAAACTCAACAGCATAATAACAAATCAACGGGCAACGCATCCGCCATAAGTGTGCTTCCTGTAGACACTTTGGGTTAAGTCTGAAAGTAATAAAACCAGCTCCCCTACCAATATTGCCCTCCGTTCCGTATGGTTCCCAGGTAACCTATAAACAAAGAGAACATTGTTAGTATGAATTTTGGAAAACCGAACAAACCGAAGAGACAAAGCAAGAGGCTACTAAGATATCTGCTCCGGGGTCATGATGCCAAGCTCGTTGCCGTAGTGCAAATACATGGTCTTTGAACTGCCAACAAAACCTTCAACCTTGTCCCACTTATACGCCCATGTAGGCATACGGTCCGGGTCATGATGATCATCCCACCGGTCGTAACCCTTTGGTGTCGGCCGCCCCACTGGCAAGTGCTCCCAACTCCAGATCGATAATAGAAGCATCGAACCACCGATGTTGGCTTCCTTTGACTCTACGATGTTTCTTGGATTCGCCCCCCTACGGCATGCCTCGTCCAGCTACACACAAACAAGAAATATGTCACTACAAACTAGAGAAAATTTCTACATGGTGAACACAATATTATTAGCAAAACTACTTACCTGACGATACAAATAAGCCAACGCCGCCGTACCCCAACTGAGTCCATGCTCCCACCCAGCAAATAGCTTAAGCCACATAAAGGAAGCGTTCACGCCAGTGCCGTCAGAGAAAAGAGTCCGGCTGACTACATACCACAAGTATGCCCTGATATACTGCTGCACTGTTTCATCGTCCGCATCAGCCGGGCATTCCCCAAAGTGTTCAGCAATCCAATGATAACTTGCACCGGCGGACTTCCCTTGTACCCCTGGCTCCCTCCCTATGAGTCCAACCATAATCTCACGCCATCCATCTGAATTTGTGCTAAAACAAATAGGCTCTCCTTTGATGGGAAGTGCAGTGATCAGAGAAACATCCTGCAAAGTGACAGTCATCTCCCCAGCATAGAAGTGAAAAGTATGTGTCTCAGGGCGCCATCGGTCAACGAGTGCCGTGATCGCACAAGGGTTCATCTTCGGCATCGAACGAGACACGAGTGAGATGAAAGGGAGAAGCCCGGTCTTCCGGATATACTCCGTGTATCGCTCGTCATACTTCATCTTGTCATGAACCGAACCGGACCTCAGGTGAAGCTGATCAAAAACCCTTCCTTCATCTGCCATGAACCGTCCACGATGCAATTGATCATATGATGGATGGATAAGAGAAGCCATCCTGCAAATTACAAATGTATATGGTAAGCCTCTTTGTCATTTGCAAATATCCGCAGTAGTGCAAAAACATACATACATGTGCAACATTTCTACATTAATTCTTCTTCCATACACCATATATGTGCATATAATTTTCTACAACATAATACACCATATATTTGCACTAATTCTTTCATACACCATATATATGTGCGTACATATCCTAACCAAATTCATAGCATTTTCATAATAATCCTATATCATACATATTGTAAGCCATACATATCCTAAATCACACTAATCCCTACATTATCATACCAAAATCCACTATACATTTCAACAAAAAGATGAACTAGGGTTTCACCCAAATCAATCAAATGAAGAGATTTCAACCAATAGAAAGAGGGGAAAGGGAGGAGAATACCTTCAGAATTCGAAGGGCAACCAGATCCACCGATCTCCGGCTCAGATCCGCAGCTCTAGAGTGGGGAGAGGGAGGGGCGATTTGAGGGGCGCCATGGAGTGGGAAAGAACAGAGAGGAAAGACAGAACGAACAGAGAGGAGGCTCAGGCGGCGATGTAGTGAAGGGGTATGGCGCCCCGGGCCGGGGCGTCGTGGTACAGCCCATGGCGCCCTGGGCCAAGGCGTCATGGGCCCAAGGCCAGGCCGACGTGGCAGTCATCGCTGACCAGTATGGCGCCATTGACCGAGGCGTTATGCTGTCTAGCATGGCGCCCCGGATGCGGGCGTCATGCGTGTAGGGCCATTTTATAAAATATTTTTAAAAGAGAGTCATTTTGTGCTGAACTTCGGCCAAAGGGCCAGTTTTATGATTTTTCACGGGTGACGAGGACTACAGCCTTTTTGCTCTGGCCGGACGCCCGCGCCGGTCCGAGCTCTCCGCCCACTCCCAGCCCCACTCGCCTTGTCTCAAAAAAAAAAAGCCCCACTCGCCACGTCATGGCTCTCCAAAACGCACCCAGCCCACCCATCCCAATCACGCCGGCACGTGGGTCCCGCAAAGAGCGCGGCCCCGCACGGCAGAGAGCGCGTAGCGTTTTAAAGGACCGAGGTACGTGCGGCAATGAGTGACTGTAACGCACCATCCCCGCTGGCGCAAAACCTCCGGCGGCACCGAGGAATCTAGCACCAGCTCACTGGCGCGCGGGACCCGCGCCGCACCGGGCCCGCGCGGCAGGGAGACGGCCGCATATACCCGCACACCTGGGCGGAGACTCCCCAGCCCTGCGCCCCATGCCGCATCGAGACAGACGAAGCCCAGCAAGCAGCGGCAATAGCCGAGTAGATTATTCTCCCCAAAGTCTCTCTCGCGATCGAACCCTCGCCCCCCCGTCTCGTCTAGCCTCCCCACACCCACACACCCCGTCCCCTCCTCCTCCCGCTCCTCATCCCGCGATTGGCGAATTCGATCGAGGGTTTCCCCGCCCCAGGCGCCCCCGGATCCAGCTCCACGGCGCCAGCTCTCCAGAAGGGCCCCGTGATCGCGTGAGAGGGCTGCCCACCCGCTGCTGCTGGTTTCCCCCTCTCGTCAGCCGCCGCCGCCGCCACGACGACCACCAGCTGGACCTCTCCGCTGCGCCTCCGCTGGCGTCCGGTGAGAAACTCCGCTCCTCCCCCCTCCTGTTGAGCTCCCGGCCGCTGCTGGCTCTGTAGTCTGTATCTACCCAGTTTCGTGTCGCGCCGGGCGGTGCTTGTGATGTGTTTGGCCGCGGGCTTCGATTCGATGCGTCGGAGATGGGGGATGACAGCGGGTTTGGTTTGCGTAACTGGAAGCTAGTTGGGGGATGACAGCGGTTTGCGTTTGTGCGCTTACTTTATTGCGTGTCCGAGTTGAGTGGGTGGGGGCGGCTGTGGCGTTGTTGTTCGCTTTAGCGGTTTCGCTTTCGGGGATTGGTGCTTGCGGTGCTGGATGCTCGTAGGATTCCCCTGCCTTTTTTAAGCGGCCCAGCTTTGGAGTTCGGAGATGCGGAGTGGGGAGTTTGGGGGCATGGTATCTGTTTTAGCTGAGTTGATTGATGCGCTTTTGTGCTTCGCTTACCAAGTTGATGCGATCAGTCCCAGGTTCCGTAGTTTGTTGCCTTCGCCCTTTCTGCTTCGAGGAGACCATGGTGGGTTGGCTGTGGCTCTAGGCGCACTTGTGTGAGGATTTGGAGTCTGGGCATTTGGGGAATGCATTTTTGCTGTGAGTTGGGTGTTTGTGAGTAGGAGGTGCTGGTTAATACAACGCGGTTACCATTTTGGGGGAACTTTCTGCTCTTCACTTCTTAAGGGTTTTCAGTTTTGCTGGTATTTGTGGCTGTGCTTGCAGGGGGTCTGTTTGGCCTCTTTGGTCCATGTTCTGATTTTAGGTTTTTCCCATTTAGTGTCTATCGAAATATCTTGAGGTATAAATACCAAAATACAGACAATGGGTCGATTGTAGTGTGTGAAGGATATGCATGATTACTACCGAAGCTGACTCTTCGTCATCAATTGAAGTATTGAACTTATTACTCCGTCTCATTTCACAATCAACTATTTCAGGGTCTATTCTGAACTGGACATGAATCAGCTTACAAAGTGGACATCTGAGCATTAAATCTGCTTGGTTTGTGAGACTGTGAGGGAGCTGGATTCCGACATAATTTGTTATTGTACAAGATGTTTTGGCATGTACCTGGACTTTCTGCCGCATCACCGGTGAGTGCTTGCACTTTTGGTTATATCTTGTGTAGGGAACAATTTGGAGTTTTTATTTAATGGACATTTTTCTAATTCTTTCAGGTGGATACTATTTTAGACAAGGAAAATTTTAAGTTGGAAGACCTTCTTGACGAGGATGAAATAATCCAGGAGTGCAAAGCACTGAACACCCGCCTAATTAATTTGTACGGTTTCTCTTAACACTGTTTCTTTGTGTTGTTTTTTCGTTTTCCGAGCTGTATTTTAACATTTATATTTTATTTGAATCTCTTCATTTGCTGACATTGTTTTAAGTTTTTGCTTATGTATGATTATCTATATATAGGTACTTAGTATGATTGCTATGCATGTTTCTGTGCTCAAATACTAATATCTGTGTTAAATTTGGCCTAAAGTTACTACTTGAGCTTTGACTTGAAGTCGACTGCTTATATGATTATCTCTAAATCTTATTTAATCAACCAAATGGAGTTTCACCCTTTTAACTCACTGTTCACTGTTTTGTTACCTGGACTGGTCAATGTTTATGATCCAGAAGATGAAAAGCCATGTATCTTTAGCAGGAAATAATGTTAATATGTATTTAAGATACTATAACTATGAGAGCACTGTACGATTATTTACAATAAACTATCTGTTCATTCTGGATGTTGTAGTTTGCGAGACAAAGTTCAAGTCGAGTTACTGCTCCGCTACATTGTGGAGGAGACACCTGAAGATGCTGAAAAGAAGAGGATATTTAGGTATAGCAAGGCTAATTTATAACACCATCTCATCCTTTGTCCTAACATGAACTTCGCTCACTATGATTAGTGCCTGGTTTGCAGATTTCCTTTTATAGCTTGTGAAATATTCATATGTGAAGTGGATGTCATCTTGAAGACATTAGTGGAGGATGAAGATGTATGTCTTGCATTTAGCTTTCCATTCGTCTTGATGCAAAAATGTTCTCTTAGCATGGTGTAATTCCTTTCTTCTGCAACTGATTAGTTGTGCTATCTGTGCAGCTTATGAATTTACTTTTCTCCTTCCTGAAACCTGACCATCCTCATGGGACTTTATTGGCTGGCTACTTTGGCAAGGTATTTATATGCAATCATTGACTAGACTGCTGGGCAATTTTGGTCTCTCTCTCTCGCTGATTAAATGGCAATGCCCTCACTTTTATCCTGACATTTTAAGTGGACATCACTGTACTGCTTTGCAGGTTGTTATTTGCTTGATGATGCGGAAGACACTCCCACTTATGAATTATGTGAAGGTTTGTATAGTGTCATCTGTTCTTTTGTTCGTCCATAAGTTATCACCCATGTCAGCCATTTGTGTACCTTAATTATGCATTAGTACGTATCATTTTGAATAGTGGTTGTTGTATGTTTAGCATACAATTGAAGTATGTGGGAGTTTATGCTGATGCTGCAGCAGCTTCTCTAGAGTAGCCAGCTTATACCAGAATCAGTGACTTAGCATGTAGTAATAGAGCCAAACACTAGTCAATTACTGGAAACGGTAAGTATATTTGTACGCCCATCTTAGTTTTACAGCTATTCGAGGCTTAAACATCTGTAAAGCCATTTCTGGCATCTCCGTTTTACGTGTGTATTTTATTTATATTTGTGGAGGAGTATCCATATAATTTGTTTTCTCTTTATGTGCATTTCATTCTAGCATTTAAAATTTTGTGTGCTGTTGTTTTTCTCCTGCAGAGCCATCCTGAAATAGTTAGTCAACTTGTTGATCTTATTGGGATTACTTCTATCATGGAGGTTAGTTTACTACAATCATATTTGCCCCATCTATCAGTGGTTCCAACACTGAAAAAGCATCCCCTGGGCCTACATGCCAGTGATACACTCAGTATACTTTGTATTTTGAGTAAGATTAATTAAATCCTCCCAGAAAATTTGATAGTTTGTTGGTCCGTATTGCAGGTGTTGATTCGCTTAATCGGCGCTGATGAAACTATGTATTCAAGTTATGCGGATTCAATGCAATGGTTAGATGACATACAAGTCCTTGAGATGATTGTTGACAAGTTCAGCTCATCCGTAAGAACTAAAGATTACTTTAGCATCCAACCATGTCAATTGTTCACCTGTACTGTTTATTGGATTTTCAAACTATTTCAAAACTGTCCCTGCTGATGTTTGTCCGCACCATGCTACTCCTTAAAAAATGATGTGCCCTGAAAGGCTAGCCTTCTGCATATAATTTGATTAGCCAAAGTGCCATTGTTCTCCAAAAGCACCATTTGTGAGTTAGCTGAAAATTGAATAATCTTTTCTAGCAGAAACTTGCTCAAAATTCAACGTATCACTAACATATGTTATGTATATCTGATGCCTAAGGATTGATTTGACTTGGGTTTATCTATGCTTATCCGTTACTTTGGATTGGCTACAGCTCTCCAGTCTGAACTTTAATGACTGTTAACTCTTCTTTTGAAATAAATAATCACCTTCAGATGTTAGCATATTCTGTCCAGTTTCTGGTTTACATCTGCACGGTAGTTGTTGTATAGCTCTTGCTCTGCACCCATACCAATGTAAGGTCAAACAAGCGGGCTATGCCCATGTATGTTTCACCATTCTATAGCTACACCATGTCAAGTTTTAAGGTGGCTATATGTTTTCACAAGTTATGTATGAATAGCGGTCATTCTCCACTGTTGAAATTCCTCTCATTGTTTCTAGGGGATTTGCGGTTCATGCTTTTATTGTCAACGTGACTCCTTTTAATTTCCATTGCAGGATTCTGCTGAGGTTCATGCAAATGCTGCTGAAATCCTATGTGCAGTGACTAGATATGCCCCTCCAGCACTTGCTACAAAAATTTCCAGTCCTAGGTGCTTAATATTTGTGCTCTCTTACATTGTAGTACTAAACATGCTATCTTGTCTTGGGATTTTTATAGTTTCATTTTGGTATTGAGCACACCTCTGTGTATTCTTTTCTTTTTTACTTCGCATTTGCAGTTTTGTGGGGAGATTGTTTCATCATGCTTTTGAAGATTCAAGACCTAAATCAGTGCTGGTCCACTCACTGTCAGTGTGCATATCTTTGTTAGATCCTAAGAGACTTGTATCTGCGTCCTACCAAGCTTTCCGTAGTCAGTTAAGTCATGGAACATTGGTCACTGCAAGTCCAGAAACAGTTAACGGCATGCTGGATAGCCTTGGTTAGTGGTTGCTTTAGCTATTAAGTTTTTATATCTTTTCACATGGAGAGACACCAGCTACAGTGCTTAAATGTTCATGATCTGCTGCTAGTTTTATATTATGTATCTTTCATAATCCATACTGAAATACAAATAGCAAATGATACACATAATGAAGGACTAATATAATGTGGAAAAATAAAATTGAAGGACTAGTAATTTGGCATGTGCAATGCATGTTTTACAAATATCAAGAACACGGACAATCTAAGTATCCACGAAAGCGCAATGTCTTTGTTAGTTATTGACCTGGGCAATTTGTTGAGAGAAAAAATGATTAAAGGATTAATTTCTTCTCAAGTGAAGATTAACTCTTAGCCCTCATTATGAGATAATTTGCAAAGGTCAAATTTAATTCATGAGCTATTAGATATGATTGTATTGTATGGTTGAGATCATTTGGATTCTACCGAAGTTGTACCTTTTATAGTAGCACAGATATATATTATATTTCTCTTTAGAGAACATGTTTTATATACATCTCAGAAATAACATGAATACTTTGTTAGTTATCTTTCAGTTTTAAATCCCACACAATTATTTGTGCCCATTCTTTCTACACTTGGTTCTGTTAAGTACTATTACTCCTTCTGATCCAAAATAAGTGTCGCAGTTTTGACCTAAGATTAGTTCAACCTTAGTTCAAAAGTGTGACACTTATTTTGGATCGGAGGGAGTAGTTGTTAAAAAACTAATGTTCAAATAATAATATCCTTAAAGTTTCCAAATTCCTGTCCATCACTTTCAGGTGATTTGTTGAAGCTGCTTGATGTTTCATCAGCTGAAAATATTCTGCCGACAACATATGGCAGCTTACAGCCTCCTCTTGGAAAGCATCGCTTGAAGGTATGTGCTGCTTAATTTGTTTAGATGTACTGCTTTGAACTAGTCATAAAACGAGCACTGCTTTGTAGACATTTGAGCTATTATTAGTCATATGACTACTTATATGTTTCTTTACTCCGCAAGGTAATTGCTATGCTTTCCATGTTATTATTGATGGTGGTTATTTTCCCTTTTCAGATTGTTGAGTTCATCTCTGTCCTACTGTCTATTGGTAGTGAAGTTGCTGAAATGCGTTTGATCGACCTAGGAGCAATCAAGCATGTTATAAATCTATTCTTTGAGTAAGTTACGCACTGCAATCTGCTTCACATAATCTTGTTAAAGAGCTGACAAAGAATTCACCATCAGGTACCCTTTCAACAATTTTTTGCACCATCATGTGGAGAACATCATCGTTTCCTGTTTAGAGAGTAAACAGGATCATCTGATTGCGCATGTTCTTGATGAATGTGAACTTGTTACAAGAATTTTAGAAGCTGAGAAGAACTCTGCTCTGTCAATAGATTTAACTAAGGTACAAAATAGTATGTCACTGTTGATTTCTTACTCTGAACCAGCTGATGGTTCTATTACTTTTCCTGCTGAAATACTCATTTATTACTCTCCTTGCAGCGTACCCTATCTTCAGAGGGAAGAACTCCACCAAGGGTTGGATTTGTTGGTCATATTACACGCATAGCCAACAAGCTCATTCAGCTGGCCAACAGCAACAGTACAATACAGTCACATTTGCAGGTTTAAATTTAATTGTGGATGGAAATTTTGCTACTATTTCCCTTGCTAGTAATGGATCCCTTGTGTGATGGGCACTATAGTAGACATGCAATGACATCTTGCCATATCTTGCCAAAATTTCTTTGTGTATTTACCTTGCCGCTATTATATGGCCTGCACTGAGCTTTGGTTGAGCCCATTACATTGAACTTTGTTACACTTAATTGGATTGCAGCAAAATTCTGGTTGGACTGAGTGGCATGCTAGTATCCTAACAAAGCGTAACACGGTAGAAAATGTTTACCAATGGGCTTGTGGGTAAGTGACACCTGACTTCTGTTTTATGTAACCATCTTCTGTAGCTCTGTATTTGCATGTGATTTTTTATTGAATCGTACGTTCTGTGTTGAGTTCTCCTTTTTTCATGGCTTCTATATGAATCATAATGCTGCTCTGTTAAATGAAAATGATACACACCAGTATGATTTGTCTTAAGAATGTGATGCGTTTAAGTGCATCAGTGCTGCTCTGATCTCCAAAAGTGTATTATGCATATTTATTGACTTGTCAGTCACTCACTTGTCAGAGGAACTTTTATCGGTAATGTTGTGTTTCTGCTCAATTGGGCTGCCTGAATTGTTGATTTTGGTTGCAAACAGTTGTCATAATTTTTTGCTCCATAGCTACTGCCTACTGCCCTGTTGTTCTGCTTTTTTATTTAGATGGACATATGACTATTCTTTATGATCAAATTGCACATCGAAGCTTGTGTGAATGACACTGCTTCAACAAAACTTTCGCTTCGACACAATTGCACGAAAGAAAAATACTATGATGTTTCACTTCTAATAATAATCAGTTGAAGGTGACCGAGTTTTCCTCAAATAGAGGAACCACTATTCTGGTCACCCATGCCTTGCATGCCCATATGACCTTAAGAACTTCAAAAAGGGCAAGAAAATATGCATGCATTTCATCTACTCCTTCCGTTCCTAAATACTTGTCTTTCTAGGCATTTCAACAAGTGACTACATACGGAGCAAAATGAGTGAATCTACACTCTAAAATATGTCTACATACATCCGTATGTAGTAGTCATTTGAAATGTCTAGAAAGACAAATATTTAGGAACGGAGGGAGTATGTTTTTTGGGTGTTATTCCAGTGTCCAGACTTCATGTATGTGCTTAACTTGCTTTGTTAAATGTCCTGCATTATATGGGGAAAGTCATCTGCTGAAATATTTCTTTGGTCAGCCGGCCGACGTCAATGCAGGATCGAGGTAGGGACAGCGACGATGAAGACTTCCGAGATAGGGACTATGATGTGGCTGCACTTGCTAGCAATCTGAGCCAGGCATTCAAATATGGTATTTACCCTAGTGAAGATGTTGATGAGGTCAGTATTTTCTTCTTATATACCACTAGTTCTGTCAAGTATAGCTAATCACTTAGTATAGAACAGTCGTATTTGATCCCTTGATTTGGCATGTATTTTTTAGTTCTTTCATACTCATCTAATTTGTATAATGGGTCAGTTTTTGTGAGTACTTCTTTAGATAATACTCCCTCCGTTTCTCAATATAAGTATTTTTAGAGATTTCAATATGAACTACATACGGATGTATATAGACATACTTAAGAGTGTAGATTCACCGAAAATGCATAGGAGCTCTCGGGTGCTACGCCCCCCTATATTCAAAAATAATTTAGTAATTCAAAAAAAGTCAAAAAATCCCGGAACTTTTTATGGAATCAAACATGACCAGGTATTGCACTTGTATAAAAAGATTTAAATAGGAAATGACTTTTATTGTATCCGGGGTCAAAGATTTCCCAAAAAATGCTAGATACAAGTACTATTCATGCTATATTGTCATCATAAATTTGTTTTTTTTTTGTCCTGAAGTCAACGAGAATTATTCCTTGGCCAAACATTTTTTATGAGTACAATACCTAGTCATATTTGGTTCAAAAATATATCCAAGATTTTTTTGGCTTTTTTTGAATTATTAAATTATTTTTGAAATATAGGGGGGTGGAGCACCCGAGTGCTCCTAATCCGCTTCCGTAGATTCACTCATTTTGCTCTGTATGTGGTCCATATTGGAATCTCTAAAAATACTTGTATTTAGGAACGGAGGGAGTACTCGAATAGTATATATGCAGACTTATTGCTGTTTAATAATGTAGTATATGGACCTGTGTTTGTTCCAAATTCTAACATTTCCTACAACGTGTAAAGCTAAATTTATGTATTAGATCTTCAGCGTATAGTGATATTCTATCGATTATGAGCTTACACAGTACATGCTATGTTCAGATTCATCTGATGAATAACTCTTTTGTGGGTATGTATGCAGGCTCAAGCATCACAAGAGCGGGATGACGAGGTATGCTCACCTTTGCTTGCTTAAGTTCATGTACCGTTATGTACAGTATCTGATAACATGACAATATCACATTTTGCTTGCTTAAGTTCATGCACTATTATATACTAGTATCTGATAGCATGACAGTATTTATATTTCCTGGTACATGTAATGTGATTGTCTGTTTTGGTTGTTACTATCTGCTGTAGGATGTGTATTTTGATGATGAAGCTGCTGAAGTAGTTATTAACTCTCTTCGTCTTGGTGACGATCCTGATAGGTATTTTCTTGTCCATGCAAATTGGCCATATCTTTTCGCAAGTACATTCCATTTGGTGTCGGCAAAATGAACTGGCTGATGAAAAATATGCTTTGCAGTGGCTCCCTGTTTACAAACTCCAATTGGTTTGCGTTTGATGAGTATAAAGCACTGAATGATGGCCCAGAAGCTTCCCTTTCAGCAAATTTGGAGTCGCCTTCACCAAATGTGGATGATGATGATATGGATGAAGTCGTTCTTGGTGACCCTATAGATGACACAAAAGGCTCGGATTCACTTTTAGCAACCTCTGACAGGGACTTAAATGAAGGGTCTGGTCAAACAGTACTGTCAAATGGCCCTGTTGATAAATTGGAAAATGACATCAGACCATCAACTCCTGATGTAAAAGAGAGTCCAGCTGAGTGTGTTGAATGGACGGAGGAAGATGCTGAACCTGGCGAGGTATCAGAGAATACTGCCGTTCCATGTAGTGAGATTGGAAGTGAGAAGGTGATGGATGCCACTGATGGCGTTCTGCGTGGTACAGGACAAGTAGGAGAAGAACAAGGAAGTGAGAATTTGGTTGAATCCTTGGCTCCTGATACCACAGTAGAAAAGACATTACCACATTCGCCGGATGTCAATTCAACTGGCCATTCTGAACCAGCTGATGGAAGCGCTAATGTGGAATCTCCCCTGGGTGAACAGAAGCAGGAAAAGGAGGAAAGTCAGGAGAAATAAAGTGGATCCGGGGGTAGCTGTATATTCACAGTTCTGTTCACCATGGTGCTCGATGCCGGGATGGCTTGTGATTTCATGGAGGTGCAGTGCAGGTGCTTGGGGAACCGGCGAGACCATTCTTGTCTAAATAGCTCAGGGGCTGATGTATTGATATTCTGCTGTACAATATGCATTAGATTGCCCTGCCTTGCGCCCAAGATGCAAAAGTGGTCGCTTGAATTGAACATGGTCTAGTCGAGCTGCTCGAGCTTGTCTTACCTCAGAATTTTTTTGGAGGTCTGTTGTTATGGTGTCACCGTACTCGGTCTGTTGGGGGCATATGGCGCAGCATGTTGATAAAGTAGACATATCTATCTTTCTGCAATCACGGTGCTGGGTTGTACTGTGTCGTGTCCGGTAAATAACTGATTATTGGTGATATCCGGTTCTGATACTTGTTCATTATTCCTCTAGGTGGTGCTATTATTTTAGTAGTACTAAAATTTTGACTGGAATTCAGACAGCAGATTATTATTCTCGTATGCACAATATGTAATACTTTGGATACCATTTTTGTTTTTCTAAGTGCTTTTTACTCGCTGTGTCTGTTCAAGCTATTGATTTTTTTATAATTGCTTTCAAATCAAATGTCTGCCAGGCCACATGAATCGAACTTTTGATTGTGGTGATGAAGCGAACAGTTCGTGTTTATGGCATGATTAGCATGAACTTTTGCAAAATAATAGGGTAACAAGTCACAGGTCGTTTTACATAACTAGCCACTTCCCCCCTTTTATTGGACACAAATTATTCATACAGATCAACGGGAGACATCACTCATGGATGATGTTCTGCACGTGAGATGCGGCGACCGAGCAGGGTCAGAAGCACCACGATCGCCAAAAGTTCCACCGTCGCCTCCCGCCGAGTACGTGCTTCTGGTCGTGGCGCGGCGAAGTATCGGATCTCTCTCACCAACGACGGCAAGCAGCTACGGCATCAGAATCGGCAGCTGGTGCAGGAGAACCAGCTCTTCTTCTGCGGACAAAAAGTTGGTGGCGTCAATGCACGCGATAAACCAAGGCACGCCCGTTGCGCGCGCAGAGAACGCACGCACGTACCTTGGACCGTTTGGGTGTCGCCACCCTGGCGTACGGGTAGCCGTTGCCGGTTTTGATGGTGCCGTTGCCGCCGTCGGCGTTCCTGAAGGCCGGCGGGATGCCCGGCCTCCCGGGGCCAGCGGTCGTCTTCTTGTCGTCGCGGGCTCGCTGGAATATGACGGTGAAGCCGTCGGCCGTGGCCGGGTTCTTCACGTCCCACTCCCCGAACTTGGGCAGCGACCGGCCCTTGTTCTGCGCGTAGTGTCCGGATTTCTTGCCCACGCACACGACAGGGGAACCAACCACGTCAACCACAGGTCAATTGTATGTACCGCCCGAACCAGAGATACAGTATAACGTGCACGCACCGTGGGGTTATTCGCCATGGCCATCGAGCTAGCCCGCGCGAGTAGGAAGGATTCAGACGACCGCCCGACTGGCCGCCGGGCACGAGGCGAAGGAGATCGAAGGCGAGGAGGAAGCCGCGACCACCAGGAGAGAATTGGAGGTGGAAATGGACGGGAGGGTGGTGATCGAGGTGGAGGGGAGCCCCCTCGTTTTATACTGCAAAGCAGGGGAACCTCGTCCGTTCCTTTCCCGCGCAAAATAGGCTGGCGGCGTCTCCCTCGGAACCGGGCTTCGGGGGCTTCCTCACCGGCCGTCCAGGAGTGATAGTTTTTTTTCCCCACCTCTAATAATGGACACGACGAGGCAGGCCTCTTTTCATTGGGGAAATTAATCATTTGCCACAGCTTTCTTTGATGATTTGCCCCATGTTTTCGTCGACACTGATTTTTTGCCACACCTCTGCCAAAAATTTGATGATTTGCCCCTTTTAACCGGTTTACACTATTTTTTCATATAATACAGCTGAACTGATTACCAAAATGCCCATTGAATAAAAGCTGTCCAAATTGGTTGAAATGAATCGATTTTCGATTCACAAGATCTAGCTTTGTCCGTTCCTTGCATTTCTCCGTTCGTCCCCGACCCCGGCGGCTCGCTGTCCTGCTCCTCAGCCCTCGCCTGTTGGACGCCCGACCTGTCATGTTGTGCTCACTCTTCCCGTGATGTGCAGTGCTGGCTACGGCCCTTTCCTGAGTTGTGTTGCTGCTGGATCGCTGCCGGGCGCCATAGCCGTTGATGTTGTTGCTGACGCGAGCGAGGCGTCGGGCGTCGTTGTCTTCGATACAACAAGTTGACACCGGCCCTCCCATGATTTTTCGGAGACCAAGTCCAAGAAAACCTTTGGTATTGCTCAAGCGGCCAAGAACACAAAGCTTGCTTTGAAGGCCAAGAAAGTGGTTGTGCGCCCGTCTAGGGAACAATATAAGGTTGAAGAAAGTGTTGAGGAAGAAGTTGACACGTAGTGCATGGTAAATTACTTTGAAGAAGACTTGGCCTTCCTGGTCAAAAAGTATCCAGGCACCATGGCAAACGAGGGGAATAATATCAAGGGAAGATCCTTTGTGAGAAGAAAGTGCTACAATTATGATAGCCCAATACACTTTGTGTTGGGGAACGTAGCAATAATTTAAAATTTTCCTACGTATTATCAAGATCAATCTAGGAGATGCTATCAACGAGAGAGAGGGAGTGCATCTTCATACCCTTGAAGATCACTAAGCGGAAGCGTTACAAGGAACGAGGATGATGGAGTCGTACTCGCGGCGATTCAAATCGCGGAAGATCCGATCCAGCGTCGAACGGACGGCGCCTCTGCGTTCAACACACGTACAGCCCGGGGACGTCTCATCCTTCTTGATCCAGCAAGGGGAGAGGAGAAGTTGAGGGAGAACTCTGACAGCACGACGGCGTGGTGGTGATGGAGCTCGTGGTTCTCCGGCAGGGTTTCGCCAAGCACTATGAAGGAGGAGGAGGTGTTAGAGAGGGGTAGGGGCTGCGCCAGGGGAAGGGTGTGGCAGCCCTCCCACCCCCACTATTTATAGGGGGAAGGGCAGAGGGGGTCGGCCCCCTAGATCCCATCTACAAGGAGGGCGACGGCCAAGGGGGGACTTGCCCGCCAAGTCAGGTGGGAGGCGCCCCCACCCCCTAGGGTTTCTAACCCTAGGCGCCTTGGGCCCCCTGGGGGGGGGCACCAGCCCATCAGGGGCTGGTTCCCCCCTTTGTTCAGCCCACTAGGCCCACCGAGGCAGGTGACCCCATCTGGTGGACCCCCGGACACCTTTCGGTGGTTCCGGTACAATACCGATAACCCCCGAAATTATTCCGGCGACTGAAACAAGACTTTTCTTATATAATTCTTCACCTCCGTACCATTCCGGAACTCCTCGTGACGTCCGAGATCGCATCCGGGACTCCAAACAACCTTCGGTAACCACATACTATTGCATAACATCTCTAGCGTCACCGAACCTTAAGTGTGTAGACCCTACGGGTTCGGGAACCATGCAGACATGACCGAGACATCTCTCCGGCCAATAACCAACAACGGGATCTGGATACCCATGCTGGATCCCACATGTTCCACGATGATCTCATTGGATGAACCACGATGTTGAGGATTCAATCAATCCTGTATGCAATTCCCTTTGTCTATCGTTATGTTACTTTCCCAAGATTCGATCGTCGGTATCCCCATACCTCGTTCAATCTCGTTACCGGCAAGTCTCTTTACTCGTTCTATAACACATGATCCCGTGACCAACTCCTTAGTCACATTGAGCTCGTTATGATGATGCATTACCGAGTGGGCCCAGAGATACCTCTCCGTCATATGGAGTGACAAATCCCAGTCTCGATTCGTGCCAACCAAACAAATACTTCCGGAGATACCTGTAGTGCACCTTTATAGTCCCCCAGTTACGTTGTGACGTTTGGCACACCCAAAGCATTCCTACGGTATCCGGGAGTTGCACAATCTCATGGTCTACGGAAATGATACTTGACATTAGAATAAGCTTTAGCAAACGAACTACACGATCTTGTGCTACGCTTAGGATTGGGTTTTGTCCATCACATCATTCTTCTAATGATGTGATCCCGTTATCAATGACATCCAATGTCCATAGTCAGGAAATCATGACCATCTATTGATCAACGAGCTAGTTAAGTAGAGGCTTACTAGGGACATATTACGATCTATGTATTCACACATGTATTACGGCTTCCGGTTGATACAGTTATAGCATGAACAATAGACAATTATCATGAACAAGGAAATATAATAATAACCACTTTATTACTGCCTCTAGGGCATATTTCCAACAGTCTCCCACTTGCACTAGAGTCAATAATGTAGTTACATTGTGATGAATTGAACACCCATAGAGTTCTGGTGTTGACCATGTTTTGCTCGTGGAAGAGGTTTAGTCAACGGATCTGCGACATTTAGATCCGTATGCACTTTACAAATATCTATGTCTCCATCTTGAATATATTCACGAATGGAGTTGAAGCGACGCTTGATATGCCTAGTCTTCTTGTGAAACCTGGGCTCCTTGGCAAGGGCAATAACTCCAGTGTGGTCACAGAAGAGAGTCATTGGGCCCGACTGATACGTCACCAATGTATCTATAATTTTTGATTGTTCCATGCTATTATATTATCTGTTTTGGATGTTAATGGGCTTATTTTTACACTCTTATATTATTTTTGGGACTAACCTATTAACCGGAGGCCCAGCCCAAATTGTTTTTTTGCCTATTTTAGTGTTTCGCCGAAAAGGAATATCAAATGGAGTCCAAACGGAATGAAACCTTCGGGGGCATTATTTTTGGAACAAACGTGATCCTGGATACTTGGAGTGGACGTCAAGAAACAATCGAGGAGGCCACGAGGCAGGGGGGCGCCCACCCCCTAGGCGCGCCCTCCATCCTCATGGGCCCCTCGTTGCTCCTCCGACCTACTTCTTCCTCCTATATATATATATCCATATACCCCGAGAACATCCAAGAGCACCACGAAACCCTATTTCCACCGCCGCAACCTTCTGTACCCAAGAGATCCCATCTTGAGGCCTTTTCCGGAGCTCTGCCGGAGGGGGCATTGATCACGGAGGGTCTCTACATCAACTCCATGGCCCCTCCGATGATGTGTGAGTAGTTTACTTCAGACCTTCGGGTCCATAGCTAGTAGCTAGATGGATTCTTCTCTCTCTTTGGATCTCAATACAAAGTTCTCCTCGATTCTCTTGGAGATCTATTCGATGTAATCTTCTTTTGCGGTGTGTTTGTCGAGATCTGATGAATTGTGGGTTTATGATCAAGTTTATCTATGAACAATATTTGAATCTCCTCTGAATTCTTTTATGTATGATTGGTTTATCTTTGCAAGTCTCTTCGAATTATCAGTTTGTTTTGGCCTACTAGATTGATATTTCTTGCAATGGGAGAAGTTCTTAGCTTTGGGTTCAATCTTGCGGTGCTCGATCCTAGTGAAAGAAAGGGAAAGGACACGTATTGTATTGCTTCCATCGAGGATAAAAAGATGGGGTTTACATCATATTGCATGAGTTTATCCCTCTACATCATGTCATCTTGCTTAAGGCGTTACTCTGTTCTTACGAACTTAATACTCTAGATGCATGCTGGATAGCGTTCGATGTGTGGAGTAATAGTAGTAGATGCAGGCAGGAGTCGGTCTACTTGTCACGGACGTGATGCCTATATACATGATCATGCCTAGATATTCTCATGATTATTTGCTTTTCTATCAATTGCTCGACAGTAATTTGTTCACCCACCGTAATACTTATGCTATCTTGAGAGAAGCCATTAGTTAAACCTATGGACCCCGGGTCTATTATCCATCATACAAGTTTCCAATCTATTTTATTTTGCAATCTTTACTTTCAATCTATATCATAAAAATACAAAAAATATTTGTCTTATTATTATTATCTCTATCAGTGTAACATCCTAAATTTTCAATTTGGAATGTTATACATAGGTCATTCATGCATATCATATTTTATTGCATTTCAATTCGCGATCCTCGAAATTCTAAGCAACTCAAGGACCCACAGAGAGAGTTGGGGATTTCACGTTTTTCATATTTGAATTTTATCAAATATTGAAACAAGGATCATTTTGGTTTTAAATAATTTTTCTCTCCGAAAATATTTCGTATTAAAATATATGAGAGGAGATAATATGAATTCCCCAAAATAAACAAAATATTGGAGGAAAAATGTTAAAATCAATAAATAAATTTTATTTGGAGTTTATTTGAATTTGGAAAAACATGCGTTGCATTAGAGGCCCAAATAAATGTTCACTTTGTCCGCTATATTTTTAGAGGAGGGGGAAAATTTATTTCAGGATTTTTGGAGTTCGTTTCATACCTAGTTTTTATTTCAGGATCGTCAGCAAGGCAAGTAACACATTGATCATACCCCTTTCATACCCAGTTTTTATGCATTAGTTTCAAC